AAAGTGAAAGCTGGTTTTTTCGCGGCCGGTATATCATTTTTTCTCAGGTTGCGAAACTTAAAGCCGTGTGGACTCAAATCCCCAGAACCCCCTAGCCAGCCGTGCTGGCTGGGGAATTCTGGGAGTTGAAGTCCACACGTCTTAAAGTTGCCAAGGTTGAGAAACACTGCTGTATATGGTAGTTCTGGAACCCTAGTCTCTCATTCTTCTAATGGGGAGGTGAGTGCTGAAAGAGTTGCTCAGCCCTTGGAGATTCCAGCTGTCTAGATCCTGAGAACCATACCTGCCATTTATGATGCGTGTCCTGCCTAGCTCGTGTGCATGATGCTTACGTGGAAAAAATACGGGACAAACCTGAAAAAGAGGTAAATCTCAGAGAGTTTCATAATACAACAAAATTAACTGTTTACGTTTATAATTTTGCTTTACAAAGGAAAACAACAACAAAACCAAGAAAATACAAAATTAAGTCCAAAGGACAGCTTTCTGAAATAAAGGACTATTCTTTATAATAAAGGATGTACAGGCACTGTAATGATGCTTCCCTCTTAATTTTGCCCCAACAACAATCCTGTGAGGTAGGCTGGGTTGAGAGAACATGAATAGCTGGAGTATCGTGGTCAAGGGGGGGGACCTGAACTTCCCCATCTCACTGACTCTGTTAAATCCCACTGAGCTCAGAGGGGCTTCCGGAGTTCAGGACTGCCCAGCAAAATTGTACTCCGTCGCAGCTTTAGCTGGTAGGAAAAGCACCCCGAGTCCAACAAAACTTATTTCCAAGTAGCCATGGGATGGCACTGCCATCGCCTCCCTACCCACAGCTGCAAAATGCTTTCCTGCCCCGAAAACAGGCACCCGCCTCTCTTGCTCCACTCAGTTTCTTGCAACCGAGAGAGCTTTGACCATCCTTAACCAGCAAAGGAAGCCGAAGGCGACGAGAGCAACTCTTACATTCTATCTCTATGGTCTAATAGCCGTGAGAGATGCCATACCGGAAGTTGAGCCTGTCGCCGCGGGATTCAGTCGCCCCAGAGATAGAAAAATGAAGAGTGACCCAACCTGTGCTCATTCGAACCACGAAGGCTTGGTTTTCTTAATGAACTCACATAGCCGGGTTCCCACATTGCAGTCAGTTATAAACCAATGATACAACTTGGTTCACACAAACACACTGATCCACAAACTAACTAGTTGTATTTCTAGGACTCAGGCACGGAGCAGCTTCGCACAGTCTACTAAAACAACACGGTTGGCTTGTTTATGGCTTAACGCATCATGCCAACTCAAACTCAGCCAGTGTGCTTTGCGTGAACCCAGCCAATGATGGCACATTAAATTTACCACAGTAAAATTTGCTCCGCATGTTAGGCGAACCCAGCCATGGGTTGACTTTCTAGTATCAAACCTGAAGCAACTTAAATCCCATAAAGCTTGCGTGATTTTAACTGCATGCTTTTTTAAATCTGACACTGAACCTTGAAAGAGCAGTGTTTGGGCAAAGGATTTGATTTTCAGTCTATGGGGTGCCTCTTCCTACTCTCTCTCTAGGAAGCTAAAAATGCTCTAAACTCTGGCTAACACTATTCTGTAGCATCCATGTAACTGTCATGGCAACAGCAAGTGATTTGCCATTGCTTGCTTCTAAAGTTTGTTTTAACTTCCTACTAAACCAGTGTTTCTCAACCTTGGCTGGCTGAGGAATCCTGGGAGTTGAAGTCCACACGTCTTAAAGCGGCCAAGGTTGAGAAACACTGCACTAAACCCTAGTGGTCTCCCATCCAAGTATTCACCAGTTCCAACCCCACTTAGGTTTTTCAGATCAGCCAAGGTAGGGCAACCACGGAGGGGGGGGTCAGAAAAAATGTTGTGCATGCCATCTTGACTTTTTTAACTCCTCAGCTAAGGTTTGTCAGCTGAGTGGTGCTGCTTAGTCTCCTTAGAGTAGCATTAGACAACAGCATCGCCTGAGTGGTGTAGAAGTTATTCACTCTTTTCTTCTTCCTTTGGGGGGGAGTCCTCCTTAGGTAACCCACCTCCAGGGATTTCTTAGAGGTCTCCCATCCAAGTCAAAATCAGGTCTCACTCTGCTTAGCTTCTGAGCCCAGGGACCATCAGTCAGTTGCTTCCATCTGAAGAACACCTCTATGAGGTAGGAATAATACCAAACAAGACTACAGGGGGTTTTGCACGTGGGAGTTTAAGGGTGATACAACCAAACTGTCTGATTCCCAGAGAATAGCATCAAGATACCAGTCATATGATACGCTTAAACCTGAACTTCGCTGTAGCTTCCAGTTTGAAGTTTCACCAGAGGGTATATTTAAAAACTTGTTGCAGGCTAGATTCCAGGGCTCTGCTTGACCTCCAGTTTACCATAATAATCTAATATTACTGGCCTACAGAACAGGGTTAGCTCAGATCCCTCTAACTGGGGGTCCACACATCACATTAAACCAAAATATTATTTATTGGTGGTTGAACTTAGCACATTCTGTGAATCCAGCCCTCTGTGGTTTATATGCTTTCTAACCCTCTGATATTCAATAGCAACGGTGGGAGAATCTTTCACGGTGTTTCTTTTCCCCACACCAACCTACAACATATTTAGTTTCTTCGT